CATACAACTGTCAAAATCAACAGACCGATTCGTAACTGTTTTGACAAAGCCCGTCACCCAAATTCTCGCAGTGCGTCATGAACAGTCAGTGCAGCAACTGAAATGGATATGATTAGACCAAGAGGCGGCTGTGTGGCATTTCTGTTACTGAGAGACGACGACAGAGTTTAAGAATTCTACTAATTTGTAGTTTAGTATACAACAACAGTAGGAAACAAAGAAACCATATAAAGGACATACAAGTAAAATGAATCAAACGATTCAACTTTAAAAAAAAGGCAAAAAACTTCTGTTGCTTTCGCTTAATCTTTTTTATTTTTATTTTATCAAAATTATATTTAGAATGTTAGGGTAATTCTTATTTGAAAAGCTCTGGTTTTAAATAAACACTAATGGCCGAAATTTTTACTTTATCTGTTTTGCTTTTAAACATTGGATTTTTAACATTTTGCATATTATTAGTGTGGATTTTTTGTTTCGTTTTAATTTTGAGGTAAAATAAAAACCTAAAAAATAGTTCAAAAATAAAAAAATACTTATCCTTAGAACACTATAAATTTTTTTCTCCAAGAAACCCACTTTAAACAAACTTACCTAAATATAAACAACTTCATATTTAAAAATAACAAAAGAAATAGCACAGCAACCTAATGGCGGAGTAACTATTTTTTACAAAAGCTGATTTTAAAGCTAAACCAATAGCACTAAGTACTATTTTTAAAGCTGCAACGGTATCTATGATTTAGCATAAGAATCATCATCATCATCAGTAGCTCGACAACCCTTTCTGGGCCCTGGCATGTTCTAGGATTTTCCGCCATTATGTTCTGTTCTTTGCTTTGTTTTTCCAGTTGGTAATCTTAAATGTTTTCAGATCTTGTTCCATGTATCTAAGTTTGGGTCTTCCCTTTAACCTTATCCCCACTGGTGTTTGCCTCATTATATGTTTTGGTGTTTCAGTTCTCAACATTTGTTCAACATGGCCCATCCAGCCCAGACGTCCGATCTTTATGGATGTTATGATGTCGGGTTCACTGTATGCTGTGTATAGTTCAAAAATTATATCTTTTACACCATATGTCATTTTCTTTCACCCCCTTATATATGTGTCTAAAGATTTTTCGTTCAAACGTACCTAATAGGTACTCATAACTTTTCGACAGTGTTAATGTCTCTGGTCCATATACCAGGACCGGTTTTATTAGGGTTTTGTATAATTTTCATTTGGTTTTTTTGTGATGTTATTAGATCTTAGATGTTTAATTAGTCCATTATATGTTTTCATAGCGATATGTATTCTTCTCTTAATCTCTTCACTGACATTGTTATCTGCGGTAACTAGTGAACCTAGATATGTAAAATTGTTCACGCTTTCGATGTTTTAATCCCTTATTGTCAGATTCTTTAGGTGTCTTTGGCCAATCAATTTGCTGGCCTTTACGTATTTTATTTCAATATTGTTTACGCCACTGTTTTGTGCGGCTCCTTCTATCGCATTAAATGCTTCTATCATCTCTCTTTCACTTCTAGCTATGATGATATCAACATCATCTGCAAATGCCAATATTTGTACACTTTTTGTTATTATTGTTCCTCTGGTGTTGACTTTTGACTCTCTAATTATTTTCTTTAATGTGAGGTTAAATAGAATCCAGGATTGGGCACCTATCTGTCGTAGGCTCATTGTCTCATGGATTGTATCTGTTAGTGCGTTTTGAATTCCAATTTTGCTTTGTCCTTTAAGTGTTTCTTTTATTATATCAATAAGTTGAGATATTAAACTCTTTCAGTGCATGGATCAGAAATTCTCAAATTAGAATAAAAATATATACATATATAATATATATATTTACCATATTCCATTATAGTTATCGAGATATACATAAATTAAATAATCCTATTGCCCAAATTTCATATCCTAAATTAATTTTAGGGGATATGAACTGCCATCACCCTGCATAGGGAAGCCACAAAACTAACAAATATGGTAACTTATTAAAAAACCTAATTGATTGTTCTGGATATGTTTCAACTACATTGTCATGGAACACTTAAAATTCATTATTTAATAGTGGTCACTTTCCGATTTCTATAAGATTAGATTACATTCACTCCATGGATTTTCCAGTCAATGGATTTATGGTTAATGGTCAATCTGTAAGTTGTACATCTTATCTATTCGATATCAATAAAAAAGTTGAAAATTTGCTCAAGCGGTTTTCACTTAAAAATTCTTTCTGTGTGGGGATCATCCCATTCTGGGTTTGGTTTTAAAGTTTTTGGTGTGACTTCGCTGTTTTGCACTACTTTTCTTTTTTTTTTCATCGTCCTTTTTAATTTCCATACTCTGTAAGTCTTTTCCACTTGTGGCCTCCATCTATTTAGATCTGCTTCTGGTTCTTTTACCTGGTGATATCCATTCCGTTATCACTCTTAATGGATTGCCCTTCTCTCTTCTCATTGTGTGTCGATACCATCTAATTATTTGTACTTTTATTGCTTTAACTATGTTCTCTTGACCTATCCATTCTTGTATTTCGTGATCAATCTATTTTCTTGTATTATCTTCGTTTTTCCTCTTTGGTCCCAGTATTTTTCTGATAATCTTCCTCTTAAAAACTTTCAGTTACGCTTCTTCTCTTGCTGTTAAACCAAGAAAGTAAAACCGAAATTTAATATTCCCCATCCAAGAAGCCTCAACGCATATCCTCATTTTTTTACTTTTTCAAATCGAAAGAAGTTGACACCGACCACGAGATACTTTGTAAAGGATATCGATGCTTTGCAAAATTTGGCAATACTTAAGATACGTAGCTTTAGTGCTTTCTAGCTGGCGATAACTATACTTGAATTATCCATAACTTAGAATTGGATCATTCTTTACTTCTTTATGGAATAAAAATTACCTAAAGACCCCAGAAGCAGTGAAAATAGAATACTGGTTAAATGACCAATATCGGCTGCTTTAGGCATTGTTTTCTCCAAATTTATGGCACTGACAAAGCCAAAAGGTCAATAGTGTTTATTTGTGTAGATTTTATATACTGATATATGATGTTGTAGATACTATTATCCTCTAATATCAATAGATTTGAAACATTTATTGGAAGTTTCATTTTGTAAGATATTAAATTTTGGTGAAAATTATCATCTTCTACTCTTTTTAACGGGCAATCTAAAAGAATATGTTGTAAATTGGTAATTTCATCACATAAACATTTATTATTATTTAACAAACCTATTTTATGTTTATACATTGGAAATAGTTCATGATTGCAGCATATTCGACTTATTATCAGAATAACTGAACGATTACGTGTATTCTCAAACCATGGTTTGTCCCTAATTTATGGTTGTAAATTTAAAAAAAAAACAGGTTTTGGTCTCCACATTTATATTTTATATACCACTTTTCCTTAAGGTTCATTTGAAAAATTGGAATTAAATCAGATTCCGGTATTTTTAATCTGAGTATTCTTTCATTTTTCGCACCATGTTTTGCTAAAGAATCAACTTTTTCATTTTGATCTACGCCTGAATGGGCTTTTATTCATGATGTTTAAATTTGTTTTTCTCTACTTGATACATTTTGATACAATTCAAAAATATCAAAAAGGATGTAATTTAAATTTCGGATTTAAACACAGATTAGTAAGTTTTTCTACCGAACTTTTAGAGTCTGTAAATATGACAAATTAATCCTATTCTTGTTCAAAACACATGTTAATTGCTATAATTTTATTGCAATAAGCTCTACACTAAAAATTAAGGTTCTATCTGACAGTTTGTATATTAGCTTAATATTTTTAGAAGGATTAAAACTGCACAGCAAACTCCATGTTCCGATTTCGATCCATCAGTTTAAACTTTTTCATACTTCCATTTTCCATTTCCTCCATTTTCTGTACAACCCCAATAATATTCTTTTTATATAATAATATTGTTTTAACACAAGTAGCGAACGTTAATATGGGTCTTAACTTTATAAAGAAACATTTCATAGGAATAATTCCATAAAGGAATTCCATTGGATTGATAAAGTATTTCATATCTATGTACATTGTTAATAAAACTTTCAACTAATAACTGTATTTTTTTTATCCCAATATTTAGATATTAAAACCAAACCAGCTAAACTGGATATTTTAACTAATACCTTAGATTTCTAAATGCTACCTTTAATATGAATTTTTCAGATATAAATATTCTCTGCAGATTCAGTGGCGATTTACATATTTCTGTTTTCATAACTTCTACAGGCGTACTTCCCAAGTTTCCAATACTGAATAGAAGACGTTTGTTTTTACTCTAGACATTCGATAACTTATTTGTAAAAAAAATAAAAACAAAAATTTTACTAAAATTACTAAAATGTGTTAAAAAGTATATCTATGAAAACTTTGGTGTCCAAATAACCACCTTCAGTCGTTTTAGGTTTAAAATTAATTCAAGTTACTTATTTCTAAATTTTAGATTTCTAAATGCTAACTATAATACGAATTTTTCACATCGAAATATTCTCTGCAGATTTAGTGGCGATTTACATATTTCTGTTTCCATAACTTCTACAGGCGTACTTCCCAAGTTTCCAATACTGAGTGGAAGACATTTGTTTTTACTCTAGACATTCGATAACTTATTTGTAAAAAAAAATAAAAACAAAAGTTTTACTAAAACTACTAAAATGTGTTAAAAAGTATATCTATGAAAACTTTGGTTTCCAAATAACCACCTTCAGTCGTTTTAGTTTTAAAATTGATTCAATTTACTTATTCGCTACAATAATAATTATCATTGAGACATCGTTAACACAAAAAGACAACAATATTCTTCAAGCACGCTTGAACTTTGCTAATCATGGCAATCAAACTTAAGCACAACAATTTGTAATTTATTTCCGTCAACACTGTCCTTTATCTCAAATCCAATACTATTCTCTCTAGTATTATCCACAAGGCGGAGATAATATTTCGTGTAACTATGAGGGTGGTTGCCGGGGGTTAGAATTGAAACTCACCCTCTTCTGTCATGAAAGTAGTCGTTGTCGTTGTTTCCCTTCTCGAGTCAATCGGGGCGTGAAAATTGACACATTTACATTCCACTTCTGTAGAATCTGTACAAGATATCCAGTTGGGTAGCCGACTTCTGTTCATAGTCGTCTCTACAGTCAATTTATCTATTGTTGTTTCTAAAATGTGAAAAATTACGTGGAACCATTATTTGGATCTGAAAATTAATAAAGTGCATTTTTTACAGGGTAGCATTAAACAATATCTAGACAAAGCAGCCAAGGGTGAATATTGCACAAAATTTCCAGATAAAACTGATAAACAACAAAATCTGAAGTAACATGTAAACCGCCATTATGGTCATTAAATATTTAAGAAGATACATATTTTGCCCAAAAGTTCAAGCCATAACTTCAAGACATTTAAGGACATATTGAAGAAAAAAGAGACGCAAAGGGCATTGAAAAAATCTATAAAAGTTAATGCTCAGAATTATACAAAAGACACTTCAACAGACGCATCAGTCTCAGAACACAAAAAACATGATATCAAAAAAGCATAACCAATCATTTTACACGTAGAAGAAGAGATGGTCCAACCAACGAAGAAACAAAAAAATCGGTGATTGATGGCATACCAAAGAAAACTTTAAAAGCAATGAAGACAAAAGAATTTTGCGCGTGTCCTGATAGAACGAACCTATCAATTGTGGAAGCACTTCATATAAAATATAGGCTTATTAAAAAAAGGAAACCGAGCTAAATTATTTTCAAATCAATGTTCAATAAAATTTGTATTAGCTCGACGGCAAAAATTCGATATCTTTTGATTCAAGTTCAGCTTTCCCATGGAGATTTTGCATTTTGCTGTAAACAAACACAGATTATTAATTTATTTAACACCTTTATAAAACCTGAGTTTATTCTCGGCAACATACAAAAACTGATTACTATTTAACTGGAAATAAATCACAATTAAAGATAAAAATACGTTTATTGACGTTTCAATTTTCACTTCGGAAATCGTTCTTAAAATACAAACAGTAAATCAATTTATAAACATTTTTGTTTAAAATTGTCTTAGCTACAATTTTTATTTGAAATATGTTTTCTATGGTGTACAGATTTTTGGTAAATTGATTTTTTGCGTCCCCCCCCCCTTCAAGGGGGTTTTAGGGGGAACCCAAAAATTGCATTTTTTTTTGGGGTACCAAAATTAATATTCTCTGCAAAAGTTAGCTTGTTTGAAGGATTTTTAGGGGTCAACTCTCTGACGACTGGACTATAACGTCATTCTTTTCGATTGCAGCTTGCAGTCCAACATCTTTGTCTACGAATGCCTCTTTGTACCATAAGATATTATTAGTGCTAGACAATCATTCGTCCCATATACATATCAACTCCTTAGCTTTTGCAAAAATAATGGGATAGTGTTACTGTCATTTCCACCCCACTGCTCTCACAAGCTACAGCCCTTAGATAAATCCGTTTATGGGGATTTCCAAAAAGCCATTAATAGTGTCTGTGATGAATGGATGCGAATTCATCCAGGAAAAGTCATGACTATTTACGATATACCTGGTATTATAACTATCGCAATGCCACTTGCTCTCACTCAGGTGAATATCCAGGCCGGGTTTCGAAAGACAGGGATCTTCCTAATCAACCCCGATTTGTTTCAAGAAATTAATTTTGCGCCATCGTTCGACGACAGGCCTAATCCAAATGTTACTGAAGAGGTGGGCATTTCTAATCAGCACAACATTAGACTTGCACCTAATGACGAATCACTATTACCTTCGTTATTGAATGAGGATCCACCTTTATTAGGAGCCCGAAAATAGAGCTTTAACTACAGAGGCTGCATCGCAGCAATTTACCAACACTGATTTAAATATCATAGTACGCCCAGTCAATCCTAAAAAGAAAACATTCATTGACCATCAAATGCTTACACCAATTGAAATAGCTGAGCTCAAAGCAACAAAAACACTGCCTAGACAAACATTTCTAAAACCTAACCAAAAATGGCAAGCTGGTACAATGAATCTGGAATCAGACATCTCTCCTCGTGATGCTGTTTTGTGTTAGCCATCAGAACCGTCTACAAGCAAGCAGTGTGTTCTCGCCTTAGACTTTACGGCCTTACTCTAAACCTCCACCTAGAAAACTAGGAAACAGAGGTCGAAAATCCAAAAAGTCTGCTATTTACACAGATACTCCAGAAAAAGAAGCTGCTAGAAAGGAGCATGAAGAGCGACAGAAACGGTTCAAAAATAGACAAACAAAGAAAAAAAACTCAAATCATCTACTGACAAGGTAATTAAATAATCAAATAATCAAAAAAAGGGAAAGGAAAAGTGAAGAAAATAAAGATTAATACACCATCAGAATTATCATCAGAAGAATATTATTGTCTTATTTGCTTAGAGACCTATTCAGCGAGTCGATATGGAGACAGTTGGATTTAGTGCCAAGGTAGCTGCAAACAATGGTCTTACGTGGCCTGCACTGATGGGAGTAGATATTATATATGCTACAACTGTGATGAGTCTGAATAAATATAGGAAATTATAATTTGTTTAAACTCAGATTTTGTTTGATAATTTTTATTAATAATTTGATTTTGATTTTGTTCGGTATTTTTGATTAATAAATCTGATTAAAAATAAAACTAATTTTATATGTGTGATTTATGTATTATTTTTTGATGTTACAACTGGCTTCTACTCCTGTTACAACCGCTCCTGTTATTGGGTCGGTTGTAACAATCGAACACACCTATTTAAATGACGTATTCCCTCCAAACTATTTTACTTGAACTATTGGTATTGACAATTATTTAAAGAATAATGAATATTACTTTACGTCAAAGTCTTTGATCGTTACTTACAGCTATAATAGCTGTAATATGAAGCACTAAAGGATAATTGTTATAACCGTACCCAGTCTACCTAATATAGTACGATCCTATGGTCGGAGCCAGGGTCGGCGGCTCGATGTGGGCGCCAACTTACGTGTTGACTATGTATTTGACTAAAATGTCCATCTAATGTTGTCAAATTAAGTTAATATCGAGACCTCTTTAAGTCTTAGTAAGTCTCTACGCATGTTATCTACTTTGTAAAAATCAGTTAAAATTTACCTGCCATTTTCCATCAATTATATGATTTCCCTACCTCAATGAAGACACTGAATTGAGCAATGGGGCCTTCGTAAAATCTTTGTGAATGATCATATTCTTACCATTCATTCTTATTAACTTTTTCGTTACAAATCAAATAAAATATAAGAGATACAAAAGAAGTATATTATTTCTTCTTCTTCTTCTTAGCCTTCTGTCGTCTATGTTTGGACATAGGCCTCTACCAACTCCTTTCATCGGTCTCTATCCTGAGCAACATATCTCCAATTTGTTCCGGCTATTTTTTTAATGTCATCAACCCATCTCATCTGTGGTCTTCCTCTTGGTCGTTTACTTTCGTAAGGTCTCCAATGTTGTATTGTTGTATTACTGTAGTGTTCCAACGTTGGTCTTTGTGTCTAGCAGTGTCTGTCGTATACCTAACATTACTCTTTCCATTGTTCTTTCTGTTGTGGCTAGTTTATTCATGTTTGCCTTGGTTAGGGTTCAGGTTTGACATCCATATGTCATGATAGGAAGGATGCATTGGTTGAACAATTTGCTCCTCAAGTATTGGGGTATTTTGCCGTTCTTAAGTATCCAACTAAGTTTTTCAAATCCTGCACATGCTAGTCTTGCTCTTCTAGTAATTTCCGCACTTTGGTTCTCTTTGTCAAGTCTCAGGATTTGGCCTAGGTAAATATATTCCTGGATTTGTTCTATCTCACTGCCGTTTATAGTTATATGTCTGGGGTCTTCTGTGTTTGTCATTATTTTTGTTTTTTTCATATTCATTTTTAGGCCGACGTATTGGGAGCTGGCTGCTAGTTCCCCAAACATAATTTGCAGTTCCTCGAATGTGCTCGCTATAATCACTATGTCGTCAGCAAAATTGAGGTAGTTTAACTTTTTTCCATTAAAGTTAATGCCATAGGTTGACCAATTTGTAGTTTTGAAGACGTCTTCTAGGGCTAGGTTGAAAAGCTTTGGCGATATTGTCTCCTTGTCTCACTCCTCTTTTAATGGGTATGGGATTTGTATTTTCGTCTAGTTGTACTATCATAGTTGCATTTTCATATATATTATGTATTAGTTGCCTATATCTCGAATCTATTCTACAATTATTAATAGCTTGTTCTATGGCCCACATCTCGATACTATCAAACGCCTTTTCATAGTCGACGAAGGCAAGAAATACGGGTAGTTGGTATTCATTTGCCTTGTCTATCAATGTTTTCATTGCCAGCAGATGGTCTGATGTACTATATCCTTTGCGGAAGTCAGCCTGTTCAACCGGTTGGTAATTATCCATTTGGTAGGTTAACCGGTTATTAATAATTCTCATAAATAGTTTGTATACTTGACTGAGCAACGATATAGGTCTCTAATTCTGTAGATCACATTTGTCCCCTTTTTTGTGTAAGAGTATTACTAGACTCTCATTTCAGTCTTTAGGGATCTGGCTATTATGGAGACATCTATTAAATACTATATAGAAAATACATTATACAGAAAAATATATAAAGTATATTATTTAGAAAAATTAAATTAAATAAAGGATTTAAAAAAAATAGAACAACTTTAATTTGCATAACACGTCTAAGAACTAGCTGGAGTAAGAAAAAGGAATAACTAAGCATATTGCTAGACAGAGAGAAACACGGTATTATTAGAGCAGAACTAAAATTACCCTGTTGAAAGTAACTATCGATGCTATGATATGATTATGTATTAGAATGTACACAACAGAAATAATTTACCAACATATATTTAAATCAGCAAACTTATAATGGTAAATAGCAAAAGAAAGAAAAAAAGAAGAAAATACATTTTTGTGGTAAAAATTACAAATTCTAAAAAGGAGGTAACATATTTTTTATATGCGGTTTTAAATAGATCCAGATCCAAATAGATAAGATTCCAAAGATAAGATGAGATAGATCCAAATAATCCAAATAGATTAAATAAATCCAGAATTAAAATGGCACAGTCTACATTTATTAAGTTGAGATCCTTGCTGTGCTGCAGTGATCTCAGTTTGGGAACCAAGATGCGG